ATATTCTATATATATATATGTATATAGACTAGATTCATTAGAAAATCCAGCAAAACCTCCCATTGTAATGTATAAGCATACGAATCATTGGGACAAATTTAAAAATGGTTTGGAACCAGTGGATCAAGAAATAGTTGAAAGATTACGAAAATTAAAAGAAGAAGACAAAACTTTGAGTGTGGATGAAATAAGAAGAAGATTAGCATTATTAAAAGATGAAGATACAGATATTAATCAACAAAAAACAAATGTATGTTAATTATTATATTATCTAAACATTCATACAATATAAATAATAAAAAATTTTTTTATCAAAAACATAATATAAATAGTTTTATTTTTTGTAGATACATCAAGTGGATATCAGAACAGATCAACAGAAAACAGACGACTTAATAGAAGAATATCTAAAACAATTAGAATTATCATCAAGCAGTGATTCAGTTAGTGAAATTCAAACAAGATTAAGATCATTACAAGGCATTAGTAGAGAAGTATAAAGTTGATACATAAATATTAAATTATAATTGATTGATAATTATAAGAAAATTTTTGTTATTTTAGCATTCAACTAATGATATTAATAATGAAAATCATGTGACAAACAAATTAATTGCAAAAACTTTAGCAGAAGTAGAATTGGAAAAAAAATATGAAGAAAATATGGATAAACTGGAAGAAATGGAGATTGAGGTATATGAAATTAATTTTAAGAAATAATAAATAACACATAAAGTTTTGATTAAAATTTAATAAATGCAGGAAATAAAACATATCGATGATGAAGATGAAAAACCTAGCTGCATAATGTGCGATCAAACTGAAGATTTAGAACAATGTTTAGGTTGTCACGGCGATTTATATTGCGCCATATGCTTTGAAGATAATCATGAGGATTTTGAAATGAAAAAGCACAAAAGAAAACCAGCAAAGAAGTTAAATTATTATTAAATAAAATTAAATAGAAATTTTAGAGAAATGCTTTGCAGTAATTCACATGCAGTTTCATTGTTATCTAATTTATAAAAAAATCTTATGCTTAGTATTGTCACTAATTTTTAATGAAAATATTTGCAAAATATATAAACATAAACATTAAATAATATACAATTATAGTAAATGTTTTAGCTATAAGTTTTAAAATTATTATTATGTTATATCTATTTTCACAGTAAATAATTTTGTAATATTCTAAATTTAATAGATTTAATAAGATATATTTGTTTATATAAAAAAAACAAATTAATTTATAAAAAAAATTATCAATGTACATTACATTATCTTTAACATGTTATACAATATCTTAAAGTTTCATTGAATATTTAATCTATTTCAATATGTAAAAAACTTTGATCTTTTTTAGATTAGATTTTTTTTAAATTAATTCAATCTTCAATTAAAATTTGCTTAAACAATTTGTTAAAATTTTGCTTTTTCTAAAATTATCTTTCTGCTTTAAATATCAAAGTGAATTGATTGACATAGATTAAGTCGATAAAAATTCACTGACACTCTCATTGGTATTTCCCGGAGATAGTTCATGGCAGAGCATAAAAAGCTCTTTTCAAAGTCTGAGCAATTCTGCTATATTTAGACGAGTTGTACATACCTATTGTGTTAAGTTTTCGTAGTACGTATCGGTAACGAATGAAACTTGTTTTTGTTTCTTCACTTCGTTTAATAGTTCATTTTGTTTAATAATAAAATCTATTTCCAAATATTATTTTCTTTATTATAAATATTATTTATTATTAATATTATTCTTTATTAACTATTTAATTATTGTATAATTATTTGATACTAAACTTTCATTGAATTTAAAGAATTGATTAAATTTGATCGATTTTTAATCGAATAAATTGTATTACGATTATAAGAAATAATAAAGATCAAAATTTTTTTTTAGTTTCATATATATTCTTTTAAAAAAATCATAAAAATAATGAATCTATTGTTAATTATTTATTGTTTATAATTTTCTTCTTTTATATTTATAATTACATCTTTTATATCGAATAATTTATTTCATTAAAAATTTATAAATAAATTATTTAAAATATAATGAATTTTAAAAATTAATTTCATATCTTTTTTCAATCAATT